ATAGATAGATAGATAGATAGATAGATAGATAGATAGATAGATAGATAGATAGATAGATAGAATGGCAGAAACATTTGTGTGGTAGGAAGGAAAAAACATGAGTTAGATATAAGGTGTTACTGGATGTGAAAGAAAGAGGACTGGGGTTACTTGGTCTGAAAATATACTTCACAGCTTGTTTAATTTGAATAAAAAGAGTGGATGTCCATGAGAAATAAAAGGACATGACTTAAGATTTGAGTGGCCTGGATATTTTATGTACAACAAAGATAAGATTAATGCATATTTTAAAAACCATTTTGTTAGATATGCCATACCAAGAATATGGAATGGATAGAAACCTAGGCTGTGACTTAAATTACATTTAGGGCTCTTTGCATAAGACATATTGTATAGAAGAGAAATGATAAGTAGAGACAAATGTCTACCTTATGGGAATACACCACAATTTTGTCAAGGGAAAGATTTTAAAAATTAATATATAATTGTACATACTTGAATCCAATCCCCTCTGCTGTCAGCCCTTCCATTAACTCTTTCCTTCCTGAACGTCTAAGCACTCCTTTGATATTTTGATTAAAGCTAAAAAGAGGAGCGAGTTTATACTGCAAACTACTCTCATAACCATAATGAGCCACGTTTCTCTTTGTAGGGTCAGATTAGTACAATGAAGGACAATGAAGGACAATTAGTACAGATTAATACAATTAGTATGATGAAGTTGTCATGGAGATTATTTAGCAATCTGAGCAGCAGGGAAGGTATCTTCTGATAGTTACAAAGGAAACTATGATGCAAACTGAGGAGTTGGAGAAAGCATGAACTCACTGGACTTTCTGCCCCCCCCAAATTTGTCACTTCCAGGAAATAAGAACATTGAGAAACTTACAAACAGAACTCAAATACAGGCTACAAAAGAGTGAGGGAGCTTTAATCATGCCTTCAGAATTGGTTACATGCTATAATATGGGCATGGCATTGCAATTCAGAATTAATTCAGAGTTCAGGAAGGACACTAATGCTGCTGTCGTACATTGTACAACTCTACATAAATAGATCATGAAAGCCTTTCCCGGAGATTGAAGAAGCAGCAACGGGTGCAGGGAGTCCCTAGTAGAAGCTGAGTAACTAATGTTGGTGAAATCTGGAGTGAATGAGCTAGAGGTAATTCCACCCCCTCCTCTGGACTCACTGGAAGTATTCTTGGGTAGAGGGAGACACATTGAAATGGTGAATTGGGCGCAGAACCGTATTTTCAGAAGCAATGCCACCAAGGATATAGCCTGCTGATTTGAAATCATGCACTCGCTGTGTTATACTCCCTTCCAAAGTCATGGAGCATTTGGTCTTCCACATCTCATAGGTTATCTGTGGAAGCAGCAGCAGCAGCAGAAGTAGGGGAAATGCCAGCAACATTTCTGGTGAGGATTAGAAGAATTTTCCGGGCTTCACAACTGATTAGGACCATGAGGAGAGCCTTTGATTCCTTTCCAGAGAGGATAGGAGTGGAAAAACCTTATATCTTCTTCCCCTGAGCTGGACCTTGGCCAAAGTCCAGCCTCAGTAGACAAGAGGCATTTAGGAGTCAGTCTACGCAGCCTTGGATGGAAAACATTGTCTGCTTTTGTTGATGCTCAACTCAAAGACGATCTTGGCAAAGGTCCCTGGGGTTGTTTTTAAGGAGGGAAAATGACAGTGATTTTGATAATCCTAAAGCAAAGAACACCAGACTTGGTGACGGGCTCAATTTTCTCTGTGATCCATTGCAATGCATGGCCAGAGAAAACACATTGCCCAAAGGATCCAGCTGTGGCTCATCCACCTGGGATGATTTACTGTCCAAACTTAGATAAAACTTTTTAATGTAGAAAAGTCATGATATCTTTTAGAAGTGTTTCTCAACTTTGGCAACTGTAAGGATGGATGGATGGATGGATGGATGGATAGAGATAGATAGATAGATAGATAGATAGACAGAGGGATGGAGGGATGGATGATAGATAGATAGATAATGATGATAGAGATGAACAGAGAGATAAACATAGAGAAATATAGATATAGATAAATATAGAGATAGTGTCAGGATTCCAGCAATCGCTCTAATTATATCATGATTCTCAAGCCAAACTTCAAAAAACTTCAAAGGATTTATTAGAGGCAACATACTGACACTGCCCTATGTGAAGCCAACTCTAGCATACGTAATTTATAGTCATCTGTGACCCTGTTTCCCTCTCCCCCCTCGGCGTCTCATAAACCAGATTCTCCAATTGAGCACATTCATGTGCTGGGTGTCATCATTCACGTTCTCCAATATATTCGTGGGCAAAAACTCTGATATTTTAGTTACTATCTTTTAAAGAGAAGAGTTGGAATGTACTTTTGCTTTCAAACTGCTGCTCTTTCAGATTTCCTTCCCCCCGCTTTTTTATGGCAACTACTAAAACAGGCATAGGAATGTTTTATGAGTTGACATATATATTAGATAATAGAGCTATAGAGATAGACAGATATAGATAAACCTATAGATAGAAATTAAATGAGAGAAGGAAAGAGAGACAGATTAGATAGATATAGATATATAGATAGAGGTAGAGATAGAGATACAGAAAGAGATAGCGATAGAGAAATGATGGTAGAGATAGAGAGGTAGAGATAAAGAGATAGAGAGTGATATACTGTAGATAAATATACCATAGATATAGAAATAGATGATATGAATAGAGATGGAGATTATATATATGTACAGTATATGTATATCTATATATAAAAGAAATCAACAAAGTCTGCCACTTTCCTAGGACAGGAAAAGAGTAAAACTGTGAGGTTTTCTTTCTTTTGTTTTCAAAGGTTCAGAAGGCTGCTTTCATTTCCAGCTGATTTGCATATGGGAAATATGGAACTGTAGAAAACTCTCCGTGGTGCCAGAAAACCTAATTGTTACCTTTCTAATTCATTTGTTCAGTTTAGACAATGACCTGAGAGGTTGCCTGGAGTGGAAAGCCAGAATATAATTCCTATTCATCAATCAAAAGTTTTTGTTAGGCAGTGTCACAAAAATAATTTAATAAAAGGGGAACACAGACAAACCACAAGAAATAAATCTTACTTTTAAGATCAGAGGTTTATTTCAAGAGCGATTTGGACCATGAAAAGCCATTACAACATTACTTATATCAATTAACTGACTGCAATGAGGTCCACTGACATGGCTGAGTCCAACAAGTGACCACTGGCCAGTAGCTACGATCTGAGATAAAACCCTTCTTATATACTCTTTTCTCTCATCTCTTCTGTTCCTCTAGAATCTTACCAGAATAACTTCCTCATTTCACTGTGCCATCCTGTTGCTTGGTACTTATCTGAAAAACTCTTGCCATCTGCACTTTTGGTTCTGTATTCTTGTAATGTCCCAGACAGTAATGTCCAAAATAGCCTCAAAATCGATTGAATTGCAACTATTAAGTTTTACACAATACAGATTACAAGTTTTCCCTTAATTTGCATCTTTTATCAATCTAGCGCTTTAATATACAGTCATATAAGAAACAGTACAATCCAGATACAGGGCTAGGAAGGATAGACACAGGTAAAGAGTTAAGGG